CCTCTGTGTCAAATAACTACTAATCCAATTCAGAGCCACTCCTCTGATCCCATATTTTTCTAACTTGCACATTAATAATTCATGATTGATTGTGTCAAATGCCTTTTTTAGGTCAATAGATTACAGCATAAATTGTCACCTTCATTTTTCCATTCAAATGAACCACCAGGAGAAAGACAAAGCAGATAAGCCCATAAAAATAAGTGCTTTGTGCGTGTGCATACATACATGCATACAGTAGCTAAACAAGATGCATTGTCTACATCTATTGTGTTGTTATTGCACATGAAATTGTTCATAATAAGTTCTATGCCACTGATTTTGGGTAATCCTGACAGTACTGGTTTATATTTACATCACATTATGACATCCTCTTTTCCACTTCACCACTGTGGACTGTGAATCTCACTAATCAGTCATGTGAGTCCTGCTCACATTAGACTGTGCTGACATGTGACGAAGAACACCATGAGAATAAAGAGAGAGAAGCCAGCGTCTGCTTGGATGCGGGTACCGCTGCCTAAAACGGACAAAAACTGACATTAGTGATCAGTAACACAGTATTTTGTCTCCCCTTGATTTGGACTAATTTATCCAGCTCCAATGTACTGATGTAGTGTAATGTTAGTGAACATTAATGGTAACAGTGTCGTTCTCTTTCCTTGACAATATGAGTATGTTTGGGTTTTGTGGTTTTGTGTTCTGGTTGTGTGGTTGCTCTTTCCTTGACAATATGAGTATGTTTGTGTTCTGGTTGTGTGGTTGTCTGAAGTCTCCATCTCAGCGAGACTAAGTGATAACTGTTCAAGTTGGTTTTAAATACTGTTTGGTGGTGGGGTTTAGCTTTATCAACTGTTTTTTTAAGTATTACTTTTATATCCTTCAACTTTGTCAGTGCTCACCTTTGGTGGTAGAAATGGTTGTGCTGTTGGTGGTAGCTCCAGAAATGGTGGTTCCAGAAGTGGTGGCTCCAGACATGGAAGTAGATGCTGATGCTGATGCTGATGCTGAGGGGTTGTTGGTTACAGTAGCAGGAGAGGTGTTGGTGGGGTCAGCCCGACCGCCCACCAGCCCCAGGTTCAGTTGGTCAAGCTGTGACTGGTACTGCATTCGAATCCAGTTCTGTACCAGTGGTTGGTTCTCATATCTCTTCAACGTTGGCAGGTTTTTGCCAAGAAGATCTTTAACTTGATTTACAGTCAGGCTCTAGGGAGCAGAGGAAGGTTATGTACTTATTTGCAAATAAACACACTATTATGTTTTAATCAACAGAGCATAATAACAAATTAATTCTAGTATGTTGGACACAGCTGAGTAAGCAGGAAACAGAGTGCAAACAACTGCAGATACAGAGGCCCATTCATCTCTGTCTTGTCTAACAACCTCCCACATACTCACATACTGAGGGACTTTACAAAGTCTTCTGCATCTCGAAGACTCACAACACAAAAATATTCAACACTACTAACCAGTACAACGCTGGGATCCATTGTGATGAAGGTACCCAAGTCCATGTTGACATTGGAGCCCACCAGACTTTGGACATAGTCTAAATCTGCACCCTCTGCAAACCAAAACTCAGTTTAGTGTTTTTCTTTCTTTTATTTCTACATGCAGTAAGAATGTGTGAGTGCGTGCACCTACTCATGTAAGATTTTGTTAGCTGGAAGGAGGTCACGTCATCAGCAACTGAGCGAGTGTTTATGGGAAATGCTGCTCTGGCAGCATTGAACAGCACTTTACTTTGCTCTGCGGTGCAGTTGACCAGATCTAGGGCGTTG